GGGAAACAGATAATAATAGTGCCTACCTCATATTATTGTCATTGTTATGAACTAACATTTATTGAGTATTTAGTGTCTCACAGGCCCTGTTCTCTTTTGGGGAGTTTTTTGTTTAGCATTTTTTTTACAGTACACTGCACATATTTAAAGTGTACAATGTGATGTGTTTTGACATATAACCATATCTGCAAAACGAAATACAACTTACCCCAAATTTCCATCACCCCAAAAAGTTCTTGTGCCACTTTGCAAACTATCCTTCCCTCTACCCATCCCCAGGCAACCGCTGATCTGTTCACTTCATTATAGATTAGTTTGCATGTTCTAGAGTTTTATGTAAACTAAATTACATAACATATAATTTTTTGTTGGGGCAAGGGGATGTGTCAATCAACATAATAATTTTGAGATTTTCCAAACAGCTGTCCCCGGTGTGGGACAGCCACGTCACCTGAGATGCATTTATCCGACCTCACTCAACTATGTGCATTCCTTTTATTGGTGAATAGCATTCTGCTTGCTGCCTACAGGTGGTCATCTGGGTTGGTTTCCGTTTCTGGGCTATTGCCATTTAGGGCTATTACTATAAAGTCGCCGGGCACATTGGTGTACAAGGCATGTGTGGACGTGTATTTTCATTTCCGTGTAGAAACTTGGGGCCGAAAGCCCAGGAGAGCACCTGGCTCCTGGCCTGTGGGCTCAGCATGGCCACAGCTTCCACTGCGACAGGCCCTCTCCAGACACCACGGGCCCTGCTGCTCCCGCCACAGCTCCCACTTCTCGTCATGAGGCCGCCACGACTCAGCTTCCTCCTTCTGCAGCTGACACCGCCAACCCTGCTGACCCTGCAATGCCCTGTCACGGTCTCTAGCCTCTCCTCGGAGACAGGACGGAGCTGTTCACTTCCTGCTCAGACAGAACAAGGGTATTATTTGAACAGATTCAGACGGTACTGGGTTTCCCAACATTCCTGGCCCACTGAGGACTGTGTGGGAAACAGTCGAGACACCAAGGCAAGAGCAAATTCAGTTCAAATGAAGGCATCCAGGCTTATTGCTTTCATCTCTTTTTAACTGGTACCTCCTTTTAAAAGCCAAATCTCTGGCTTCCTGTCATATTCATTATAATTTTGCAATAATCACACGTTGTAAAATCGTATTTTTAATGAAGACCCTTCTCTGTTATCAACACCCAACAAGGTCCATGTATTTTCAAATGAATCGCAGCTACCTTTTCTTTTGGCTGTGATTGCAAACTAGAATTGTCTCAGTTAAGTCACATTTTAAAATTTTAACCCATGTCTGTTCCTTAGCTTCCATGATAAAGACCTAAAGTGAATCCCATTTCATGAGTATGAAACAGAACTGCTACTGGTGTAGGTACAAATAGGATTTTGATTTCAGATGTAAAGATTTCTTTATAGGAACCCTGGATGTCACTACTTAATCTTACTGCATCTGCTCCCTTCTGTGTAGAAGCGCTGTGGGCTGATCATTTGGTAAAGAAGAAGCACGTGGCAGCATCTCTCACTGACTTAGACATGGGCATGTGACAATACAGAGCCACGCAGACTGGCACCAAGTGCCGGCTTTCACTTTTGGACACTGGATTCCAGTCCAAGGCCTGTGTCGGGGCCAATCTCAGAGACCGGTGCGGGACAGCCACGTCACAGCCTCAGATGCATTTATCCGACCTCACTCAACTATATTCTGCAGTTTACAACTTTAACATATGGTTTGTCATATATTTCTTACAAATAAGATGTTTCACAACTAGTTCTAGGCTGTTAAAATCCAAACTGCCTATTTGAGCAAGAACTTCTCAGATCAAGAAGTCTTGTGTTTGCACTGCCCAGCCACTAGGGGGCACCTGAGCGCTGCTTCCCAGGTACTCCAGACCAGCGGTCAACACAGGAAAATTAATAGCTACACACCCAGAATGGCTTCGCTGGCGGTCAGTTGCGGATGGGTTCCTACTAGAACTTTATTTCTTTAAAATTCCAGCAAAATATTATTTCAGATAATTTTAGTGTTGTGGTGTGTGTGTGTGTGTGTGTGTGTGTGAGCAGAAGTCTCAAGCAGGAGGCTGTCCCCTCAGCACTCAGATTTATTAGGGCAAAGGCAGAGTGAGTCCCTCCTCTAACAGAAGCCACATTGCGCTCACCCATCAAAATGGCATGTGCCATGTCATCGTCTTAGGCCTCCAAGCAGCCACTTCATTTCCAAGGAAAAGGTATGAGACAACAAACTTTATATGTAAATTATAAGCACTCAGTAATAGCTATGAAATCCAGCCCTGTGCAGTTTAAGAAACAACAATTCTTACTCAAAAAGTTTTTTGAAGCATGTATAAAAACTACTGAGAACAGTGGTTATGTCGTGGGGTAGAATAGGGATTGGGAAGTAAGGGGTGGACTTACACTTTATATCTTACAATTTTCTGAACTAATTGTATTTTCAATAGTGAGCATTTACGATATTTTAAATGAGAAAATACTTTCCTTGGTTCTGAACTTTTTTATCTAGTCCTCCCAGAGTGGACACTTCAGAGCATATTAGGCTGCTCAGCATTGAATGACCACCTTATTTAAGAAGATTCATCTGAAAATAGGTGGCAGCATGGCCCTCTGCTGATGGGGACAAATATCTACCGTATTTGCCGGCGTATAAGACGATTTTTTGGCCCTGAAAAATATGCCTCCAAGTGGGGGGTCGTCTTATACGCCAGGTACACTTCAGATAGACTGCCCATAGTGCTTGCCCCGTGCCATAGTGGCCTCCCGATGCCCGCCCACTTCATTCCACATACCGTTCAGGCATCAGCAGAGCTGCTGGGTGTATGCTCGGCTGTTATGCGATTTTGCTGTTATGCCATTTTACCACACTCGCAAAATCGCACACAGCCAACCATACACCCAGTATGGTATCGCGATTCGTGATTTTGCGCTATCATACTGGGTGTATGGTCGGCTGTGTGCGATTTTGCGAGGGTGGTAAAATCGAATAACAGCAAAATCGCATAACAGCCGCGCATACACACAGCCGCGCTGCTGATGCCTGAACGGAATGTGGAATGAAGCGG